ATTTTAATGAGATGGAAGGGCTGAGATTTACTTAGTCATGTGACTAAGGGACCCCCCCTTAGTCACCTGATCTTAGCCCCCTCCCTTACCTAAATTCCTGACTTTGTTCCTGGTCTAAAGGCTCATCACCAATCAAGGTTTCCCATCTTCCTCTCTTTCTATCTTCCTCTCTTTCTTCTCCTTAACGGTGACTTAATTTCATCATTTCCGACTTATTGTGGTTCTAGATTTTATTTGGTGCTTTCTATTTTCTTAAAACCAATCTGTAGAGGCGATGAAAGAATTGTTGGCGAAGAAGCAAGCAAAGCTTGATAAAAAGAATCCCCATTTCCTCAAACAAACAAAACAAAATGTATGTTTTGATTCTCAGGTTTCGAAGAAGGAAAGGAAGAGAAGTTGAGGGGGAAATTGTCAATCCCTACCAAGACATAGTAGAGCACTACTGGGCCGCATTTGAATTAAATATTAGATATCATAAACAAAAATATATAATAACTATAGTTTCCATTCATTACAATCCCAATTCTTTTAGAAGGTCTTTTAATTTGGCAAATCCATTCATCCACCTCTTTGGATTGCTTCTGGCGATCCATGTACTATTTGTGTTTGGTTTCCTTTCCATCTCATTAATAAATCTTTGCACCCTTATCCAAAAAAAAAAATTTGGCAAATCCATCAATAATAGAATTTCCATCCATACCAATAGCATAGTTTCCCTCATATTTGACAGGGAAGGATGGATTGTAGTTTAGAGGAATTTTTTAGGATAAATACTAATTATTACTAAAACATTTTCCGCATATTTAAATATTAACCAAACCTTTAAAATACTAGTCAAATATTAACTTCCAGTTAGCAGTTTTGTTAGTATTATTGACTTGGCAACATTATACTGATTTGGAAGAGACACATGTAGGCAAAAATTCCAAAACTTTAATATTTTAAATAAGAAAATAGGTAACAAATTATGAACGATAACAGAAAATAGCTAATATTTTGATGCGTTACAAAACATTTGGCTAATATTTTGTATTTCTAAGAGTTTGGCTAATATTTAAAAATGCAGGAATGGTTTGGCTAATAATTAGTATTTATAATTTTTATTTCAATGAACATTTATACTTAGTCTTTTACGTTTCAGACTTTTTGATATTTTTTCTAAAATAAAATAGTCGGGCTAGAATTTCTAAGCTAAATTTAGAGTAGTGGTTTGGATATGTTTATCTAGACCATTTTCCTACTTACACAACATCTTATTATAAAATAACACTCGACCGACTTCTAAATATCACTGGGCCGAATACCCAACTTTGAGAAATTTATAAGCATTGTACTAACTCCGAATCCGAAGTAGGGCTGGGCCGGGGCCCGGGTTTGCCCAGCCCTAGATCCGCCGCTGTTATGAATTGAACACTTATTTGGGACAACTAAAAAAGTACTTAATTGGATTAATTGTAACGTATTAGCCACTCAGTCGCCAGATAGTGTACATACTTATTTTAAATGAATACCAAGCCTACCAACCAAAGCACCAAACACCTTTTTTTTATTGGAATATCTGTATCATTTCTTAATGGCTAGTAGAGTTTGAGTTACAATCCGCCTGGAGGATAGGAATGAGAAAAATGGGTGGTCTAGTAGACCAAACTTCCTGCTCCTCCCAATGACACAAGGTATGTGCCATCGAGTGGGCCGCTCTGTTAGCTTCCTGGCCCGCAAAGGGAAAGCTGAGCCCATTCACCTCTTCATCCCGTCTTCTGATTTCACAACACACATCAGCCTGCTCGAACTTATCTCCTTCTTCCTTTCCCAACCCCTGGATAAGCAGCAAGCAGTCCAACTCGACAACCCCAAAAAGGAAATGAAACAGTCGAGCTAATTCCAATCCAAACTTCACCACCTCCGCCTCTGCTAGCTCCGGCCGCCACGGTCGCCTTGTTCTCTTCACCCCTGCCAAACAGAAATTACCTTTCTCGCCCCTGATAACCGCTCCAAAACCCGATCCACTATCATTAAACGTTGTTGCATCGACGTTTATCTTGAAGAACCCTCTTTCCAGTGGCTCCCATCTGACCATCCTCTGCATGCGTGAGGTATTTGGTTCCATTGTAGTCTTTTATATTCTGAAAGCCACTGGATAGCTCTATCAATAATTTTCCACTCCTCTTTCTTTTTTTTGTTCCAAAGATGGCAGTTTCGTTCCTCCCAGATAAACCAGATTGCGACCAGAAATTGCTCGATGGCTTCCTTAGATTCCAGTTCTTGCAGCGTGCAGATCCAGTCTTCACAGGTTATCTCCTCCCCCTCAATAAATAGATGTCTTAGTTCCGTATGTTGCCAAACTCTTCTTGCCCACCCACAATCTCGAAAAATATGTAACTTGGTCTCCTTCAAACCACAAAAAGGGCAATCCTCAGTTCCTCTTGGTGTCAAACACCCCATTTTAGTATTACCAGCCAAGTGCACATAAATATTGTATCAAATCGATCACCACCATATTTATCATGTGTCACGACAGACGACTGGATCCCTTTTCGGGGGACTGTTTCAATTAGGCAGAGGAGATCGGTGAAAGTTGGCCAAATTTGTTGGTTGTAGTTCTGGCTTGGATTATTTGATACCCACGTGTTTGCGTAGCACTTTAAAATTTAAAAGTTTACGGTTTTACAGTTTTATGTCATCAAACGTTTTTATGTGTAAAATCATTCTTTTCGATTACAAGTGTTGTCAAAATCTAAGTTTTAATGCTTCCAGGTGGTCATCAAAATACTACCGCTTAAAATCGTGATTTTGTTTGTATTGGCTAGGATCGAAAGAGCTGGTGGAAGGTAAAGAGAAAGGAGAGATTATAAAATTCAAAAAAATAGAGAGAAAAAGGTGATTAGGTTATGTCTCTACATATGGGTTAATATTGTTCGAACATACAAATACAAATACAAGAAAGTAGTAGCTACCAGCTATACTTGAGAAACACTAACAACATGTCAAAAAGAAGAAGAACATAAGAAGATATACACACAACCCTCCAAAAATATTCCAAGAAAACAAACCCAAATGCATGGAAAGAAACATAGAAAGAACTGAGATAGCTAGGACAGTTAGAAAGCAACAGAACAACTTCATTGGTACTTTATTTTCTCATCAATTTGGATAGATATTTTGAAAATAGAATAAACTTTTTGAATTATTAAGATCGATAACATAATATAATTATGACCAACGATCAGTATTTTCATAATAACTAATAGTAAATTTTAGGTCAAAAGTATTTTTCACACGTTCATAGAAATAAATAATTTTCTCTAATACGAGTCGAAATGACATCATTTATAGCGAATTCACTTTAATTATCATTGATCATTCAGAGGATTTTTTTTCCTTTTTTCTTTTTGGTAGTTGGGTTTGTTCTTGCTTTCATGAAGGAAAATAAAAATCCCGAAACTGTGAAACAGATAAAAGATTCATTCAAAGGCAGCTCTATAAATTGAACATCTTGATGGAGAAGGGAAAGAAGGCCGAAAGAAAAAGGGAGTTGCTAAAGGTCGCCCTTAAAATTGCTAAAGGTCGCCCTAAAAAGAATCAAAGTTACACTTTTACCCCCTTAGCTTCTTTACCTTCCCTTTATCAAACAAACACCACTTGGACTAAAAAAGCACTATCTAAGGAGAGAAAAATCCATCATCGTCGTTTTGAAGCCGATATCGTCGGAGTCGCGTAAATACATTAACTGAAAAACGAAAAAAAAAAAAAGTGAACCGCAAATGACCTGCGGTTGGACCATGGCTGGACCGCAAATGACCTGCGGTTGGACCATGGCCGGACCGCAAATCACCTGCGGTTCAGCCATGGTCCAACCGCAAGTCAATTGCGGTCCACCCATGGTCCAACCGCAAGTCAATTGCGGTCCACCCATGGTACAACCGCAGGTGATTTGCGGTCCGGCCATGGTCCAACCGCAGGTCACTTGCGGTTGGGCATTTTTTGGGTTTTTTTTTCGTTGAATAATTTTCTATTTTTTATATGATTTATGATTTTTTCGTTTGAATTATTAATAATGCATTATTAATAATAGAGTACATAAAGTAATTAATTTAAGATTTCCATGTAATCATTATTTACGTTACGTTCTATGTAATCATTATTTACATAAAAGTAAATAATTAATCAAGGTAAAATTATTAATAATTAAGTAGATAAACGAGTTACTTTTAAATTTTGATTATTAAAATTTTTAGTTTTTTTATTATGTTCTTTAAATTTGTTATCATTAATTAACATTTATCGAAAATGTTTTTTAAATTTTTATATCATATAACTAATTTTTTATTATTAATAACATTTATTTAAACACAGAATATTAAAAAACAGAATTTTAAAAAAAAACAAATTCGACCGCGGTCAAACCGCGGTTAGACCGACGGTCAACCGCGGTCAACGCGCGGTTGAACCGACGGCTGACCGCGGTTAAAGCGCGGTTTGACCATTGGTCAATCGCCCTTTGACCGCGGTCAGCCGTCGGTTCAACCGCGCGTTGACCGCGGTTGACCGTCGGTCTAACCGCGGTTTGACTGCGGTTGAACTTTTTTTTTTTTTTTACCTTCTTCTTCTCCGGCGCGACTGTGGAGCGTGAGATGGGCGGCGACGGGACGAGGCGGGCGGCGGGACGAGCGGCGATTGGCGGGCGTCGGCGGGACGAGCGGCGACTGGCCGCGGCGGCAACTTGGCGGGCCGGCGGAGGGATGCAGAGGGTCTCCGGCGGCGGGATGCAGAGGGTGTCCGGCGGCGGGATGATTTTGCAGAGGGAGAAGGTGGAAGGGCTGTTTGGTTGGCCTATTTTTTGAATTTTCATTAAGGGTATATAGGTAAATTGAATTGTAAGTTAGGGCGACATTTAGTAATTCTTAGGGCGACATTTAGCGATTCAGAAGAAAAACACTACAAATAAAATTAAACTTAAACCAATACGGTACCGTCCCTATCCTGAACTAAACTAGAACGAATCAATTCAAATCCACCTTGTAAACTTCCGTCAAATCGGGTCGGTACAACCCGAAATTCTGTTCTTCCCCCTGCGCCTTCAAATCCTCATTGAACAGAGCAAACAAATACGTCTCGATTTCACTCCCCTGCCGCCTCGGCGTCCCGCCGCCGGAACGGGCCTTCGCCGCCACGTTGTTCACATACGCCCTCGCGTTATCCACCGTCGCCACGTCAGCTCCGGCGCTCGGCCACCCTGTCTCCGACACCACAACCTTCACCGCCTCCCCCTTCACCTTCTCCGCCGCAGCGTACATCGTGTCCACCATCGCGTCGAACAAACCCTGGTACTCCAAATTTCCGTCGACCACCCTCTTCCCGCCGCCGCCGGCCGCCGAATTCCCCAGCGCGTACTCCCGATCGATGTTCGTCGGGTCGCTCTTGTAGGCAAAGTAAGGGTACACGTTGGCCAAGAGCGGGTAACCGTTCGCGGCGAGGAATTCCACCACCGGAGCGACGTACGGCTTCGATTCGTCGGAGAATTCACCCGCCGACGGGGGAAACGATTTCCCGATCGACGCGAAGCTGATCGCCGTGCTGACGGGGACGTCGGTGATTTGTGCCGATTTCAGAGCAGAGTCGAGATTCTTCATCGCGTCGAGCACGAGATGGGCCAGTGGGCCTGGGATGACCTCGTTTCCCGCCGTAATGTAGCGGAACTTCAAACGGGCCCGGAAGGGGACTACATGGGCCGAAACCCACTGGGCCGCGTAAGATGGGTTGCTGGCCAGCTGCTCCAGATCGCTATTCAGCGTCCCAAGAACCACCTCCATCCCGCCGGCGTTGGCCAACGCGGTGAGCACGTCTTGGTTCGGGTCGAAGATCCGGACCCGGTTCACGTTCCTCGACTTCAGTAGGCTGACGCATCTGTCCGGCGACGGGAGGTTGTCTCCCAACAGGCCGTAGTTGATCCCGATGCTCGTCGCTCCACCAACTAGATAAATTCAACGGCTAAACAAATTAACAAATTTACCATTCGTGTATAAAACGAAGGAAAAAACACTTGTTCGTTCAAAGGTATATCAAATTACCTTGCGAATGGAACGAAATGAAGCATGTAGCGAGAGAGATGAAGAGAAGAAAAGGCGACATTGTTAGCTGCTTCTTCTTTTTTTCTTCTGCTGGGATGGATGATGGGTAAGAAGTGAGAAGTAACGAAGATTAGATAGCTATTTATGTAGGTGAACAATACTTAAACGAGGGAATGGGTATTGGAGGAGGAGATCCTTTGTGCTTGATTGTAATCAATTAGAGGTTAATTACATAAGCGAAGGAAAGATTGAGGAAGGAATATATGATTTGTGGGATGAAATTCTCGTGAAGTGAATACTTATGGATAGTATTAATGATTTAAGTGAAGACTTGGTAGTTTATTTCTGAAAAGAAGCCAAAGGTTTAGGGAAGGAAGCTTTGTCATTACCTTGTTGATGTTGAAGATAAAGGGTCAAGCTTAAATATTTGCTTTGTTCGATGAGCTTCAGATTATGGAAAGAATGATATCAATTGGAAGATGACAGATGGAGAAATAATGAGAAAAGGAAATGAGAGATTAAGAAGATGTTTTAGTTACCAAAAGTTTCCCCGGCCATGGAATAAAATAAATAAAAAAGATCCGCCGGCGATTAGTTTGATGTTTACTATTACGTTAAGAATGGAAGGTGGGTAAGAATTTGCTTTTTGAACATTATTCAAAGAACAATTGCTCCTTGAGTTCTCATGAGTTTAAGTTAAGGGAGATGGTGAAATATAGGTAATAAAACTATATACCACTTCAATCCGAAATTACATGTTGAATGGGGGCATTTGATAGTTTCTCAACCCCTCGGAAAACGGATCCGAACTTTCCTGGTAACAATACTTGAATTGAACGAATAAACTAGGCAAATACAAGTTTACTTTTTCGTGATTTTCTGTTTTTTCATTAGAAATCATATCAGATGTTCCTTTGTTCAAGGAATACTTTGATGATGTTGCAATGAAAGATTATTTATGAAGAGCTTAAGGACAAATTTATTATTGATTCCTTATACATTGTGCAACTAATGTGTACAAATTAGTTCATTTTTTAGGAAAGAGGACGGTACGTTCGATATTTTATTAATTAAAAGAACACCAACTTCGGAAAAAAAATATACGAAATTAATGGATCATTAATTATAAATCAATACAAGAACAACTGCCAATTAGTTTGCACCAGTCACTTGGAACATGAGATGTGGCTATGGATAAACAAATAACATGGTCCGTGGACGACTATAACAAAATATCGTAAGTATGACTCTGGCCGACAATAAGTCACATTTCCCGTGGCAAGAAAACATATAGCTACAAGTTGAGCCACAAATGTATACCATATTATATAAGGTAGCTAGTACGTAATTGAATAACTACTAATTATACTGCGATGGACTATGATTTTTCTATATAAAAGGACATACAAATTATGTCACCGATATCTATATAAGTATAAACTGAACAAATGAGCTTTGTGTTAATGACGCCATTAACAAATTATACCACTTCGGGGGAAAAAGAACAAGAAAGTGACATGTTTTCACTTCTCCTTAACCACCCACCTTCATTCTTTCAATCTTTAACGCTACTAACCTACTAATTCATTTTAGTTTATGTAATCAAGAAACCAAAAAAAAAAAAACGGTTTGTTTTTTGCTACATGATGTCTCTTCCCCTTGGCCATTCCCATCTGCTTCCCTTGTACATAGAAAAATCCAAACACTCTCCCCTTGCCGTCCGTCCATGAAAGATGATAGCTCTAAATTTATCGCATGAAAACATCAAGGAACAAGCTGAGAGTCTAGTCAAATACTGCAACTAGATTATGACACCATAAGATGCGATTCTAATATGTTAAGTTAAAAGGCCTAAAAACTGTAACGAAATCAGTCTATGCTGAAAGAACGGATAAAACTAGAAGTCATGGAAGAGCATAATCGCGTCGTCGAGCTTCATCAGCGAGGAATGGATGAGCAATCTGACGTTTCTCAGTCTATCAAACTTTTGTTTGTCAGGCCCCTCGCGTTTATCCGGCGGCAGATTCAAGACCTGAGAACAAACAACCGATGGAGAGATCATGAATTGTCATGAAACAATGCCACTTTTTGGCCTGTAATCAACATTAGAACAGGATTACCCTAACTAACCTCCTTATTTTGGTCGATCTCATGAGCTAAACGTAGGTTCAGATTCAAGGCGGCATGAAACATCTCATCCAGGACAGTCTCCCGAAGAAGCCGCTTATTTACTTTCCACAGTAAGTAGGAAGAGCCGCCGTAGCTAGGACCAGTAGTTGTACCGCCCACAACCAGTTTCTGCAAATACAATAGCATTTTATAGCGGGAGGAAGAATATTCAGATGTTTGCAGAGGACCAGCAACTGGTCATATGTTTTAGGGTGGTGCAGAAACCAGTTTGTATGAGGAAAAGGTGAGAGTTACCTCCATGAGCAGGTATCCATCCTGCCACATTTTGAAAAGCGTTTTCGATGTCTCCTTCTTCTCCGCAAATATCTTATCAGCAATCTACATGAGGGAATGAAGCGAATTTATGAAACGGAAGTGCAGAACCTTCATTGAAAGGAATTACTACCGGTCACAAGTCTCAACCAAAACTGTAAATCCACAGTATGATTGTTGAAGATTTCCTGACTCTTCATCATTACCTTATCTGTTTCCATGAGGCAGCCAGCCCTAAACAGTAAGCGGAAAATTTTATATGCGGTCTCTCCAAATCTTTTCAAAACAATGGACTCAATCTGCAGTGTCAGAAATATTGGTGAACATCAGTATCCCAACCACTACTTCAACCATCTGGGGCAAACAAACAAATGAAAAACACACCTCTTCACTCTGAGCTGCTTCAGTGATTTTTGTGAAATCTACACAATGAACATGTCAATCATCACTAACAATCAAGAATAATGAAACTCAAAAGAAAACAATTAAGGAATGGACTGTTAATAATCTAAAGAAGTGATCAAGCCAAACAGGACGTACCTATACTATATGATTCATCATCCGTTTTTACAAAGGTTGGGGGACAGCTCAACTCTTCAAGGCAAGTTCTGACATGATCAAAAGTCATACTGTGATTCTTTTCGTTCTTCACAACTTCTTCATATATAGTATTCAGCGATAACGGCACTGCAAAAGTCCTCCACCAGAATCACGAATCAACAAGGGAAGAGTATATAATAAAATACTTGTCTGCAAACAACTGTAGCAATTGAATGTACAAACAGAAACAAACCAAACTTTTGAAATAAAATTCACCTGAGTTAGCAGTTTTTACTTTGTCCTCTTCAGCTCTAGATGCCTCAAGCATTGCACTCAGAACAGTTGCCGCCGCATCATCGAAGCGTACTTTTATGGTATCGACACAGGTCTACAGCATAATAAAAAACCAGTATAAGATAGTTTAGGCAAGATAGCGAGACTAAAATGCTCAAGAAGAAGTGGAAACGGTAAGATATTTTGCTATTGTGAAATTACCAACCAAATGAAGGTTAAAATAAAAGGATTCACAAGGCTTAATTTATTCAGTTCTCAAAGCTTGCACATGTTCATTTTACTCTAACATGAACTAAACTGCAAGGTTATTACTTCTCTTGTTTGTCATTAACACATATATCATTCACTACAGATCAAGTGTCATGGAGCATGAGATGGTAAATCCTCTGTTCTATGGAAAAGGGTAAGAAATAGTCAGTTTCCCACTCACCAAAATAATGACATGGAGCTTGATCTTGCTACGCAGATCAAACGACAACAAGAGAAACACAGGACAAAATTCCAGACAATACATGCATGCTTGTATAATTTGACTGTGCAAAACAATAAAACTAACCTTGTGCCGAAGACGCCGAAGCAATTCCTCAAAATTTGCACGCCAATTACATTCGACCTCTTCTTCAAGTGCCGTATCAGACTCCAAATCATGAAGCTTGCGCTACAAAAGCAAACTCCAATGATTGAATGGACAATGCAGATAGCTTTAGTAACTCAACCTAAAATACCAACCTTTTCCCCAACATCTTTACTCGGGGGCTGATTCACATTTTGCTGGTCATCCGCTACTTGGTCTGCGTTAGGTACAAATGAGAATCTTCTCATCGCTGAAGGCATTGCTACAGCCATAACACGCTGCTCTAGGGTTAATGGCTCCACCATTACCTATCATTTCCATAAAGAATAAAACTTAGTCCTACAATTCCAGGACAGAATTCTGGTATCTACATGTTATTGGTATAACTAATACATTAAGATAGTGAGGGGGAGAACTCCAAATTCCTGCACTATAATTCGCTAAGAAATATACACTGTTGCTGAAAAATCCATCACTCAATTGCTCAAGTTTCTCTTCTGGCAAGACACCAATACCTTGGTAGGACTTAACAGGGCCAGTTGCTACACAATATGGTCATCTATAAACATTATCATGAATTAAGAGTCAGATTTTGTAAAACACATCCCTTTGTTAGATTGCATAATCTATTCCTCCGCAAGTTCAATCGTTGCACGACGATTGTCACATAATAAACTTTCCAGAGTTCAGCAATAACCTTTGAAGATTTGGCACGCTTCTTTGTATCAGCATCAGGTGGTGGAACTAAAGGTTCAGGAGCAGGACAGCATTCAACATAATGGGCCATCACAAGTTTACCAAGGTCTTCCTGCACTGTGTTGGTACCTGTTGATTCTCAATAAAGAAAAAAGTCCACATCAACTTGATTATATGTACATAATCAAACTGAATTTATCTTCAAATGACAATCATATATATGAAGACAAAAAACACAAATGACTGGTAGAGCTAAAGAGAACCTCAAGACTGTCTAAACAATGTATCAGTACTAAACAAGATAGATCTCTGCTATTAACCATGTCAATTGAATACAACTCATTTCTCTTCGAGCACACCAAATGTCTAAAACATGATTAGTCACTGAACGACCATAAGAGCAGCAACTTGAATTAAGAGGAGCAACATAAGTAAAGTTCGATATGATCCTATAAAAGAGGCATATGAGTCAAGGAGCACTTACTCTCCTTGGCATTTGCACCAGCTCTATCCACTATTTGCTTTACCGTAAGCCTACCATGTTCTAGCAAACCTCTGAATAGTTCCCCACACTGCAAATGCCAAACAACTATTATAAAAACATCTCATACTAAAAATACACCAACAACTTAACAAGGAACCAAGAACAAATACAAACCGAGCCACCAAGTTCCTTCGACACCACATCCATGAACTTGGAAAACCTCACACGATGAAGTATGTTGACAAACAATGCAATATACTGAGTGAGGGCTTTCCCTGGTTCTCCAGCATCCTCCCCTGACACTGCCAAAGTCCAAACACCATCAAAATCAGCTACCTTTATCTTTTACCTCCATTGTAGAGGCAAATGATCAACCAGATGAACAAGTGCAAATCATCATATCAGTCACAATCATAGACGAAGCTACTCCTACGGGACTTCCCAGAAACCAATACGGCATCGATTGAAAACAAAACTGAATTCATCAAGGAACAAAACAAAAAAAAACTCACCGCTCTCTTCAAGGATGAAAGCCTGCGCGCAGTTGTGCTGGATTAAGACGAGCAAGCAGTTCCTGACTTTAGCCGGAGAGAGCTCGGTTCGTCGAACTA